CCTGGAGGAGGATGGGCGGAGAGGTGGCTTCCCCTGGGGGGCATCTTGGGAGACGCCAGGCAGTACCTGGAACTGGGTAATGTGAGGAGGTCCCAGCTGGGAAATTGGAAACAGTGGGAACAGCACTGCTGGTGATTTAGAGGGGCTCTTGCTCCAAAAGAGTCTAAGCCCGTTGGGATGGGAAAGCCTCCCTTGGTGTCAGGAGAGCATGGGTGTACCCTTCACCCAGTGAGGGAAGAGGAGGGAGCTCCACACCATCCACAGCACTTGCCTCAAGCCTACGGGCTTTGAGAACCCCGACTGGCCTGGCCGAGTGAGGGGCCAGATCAGGCCAAGGCTTCAGAGTTTGCAAGTTTGATGGATTCGCAGACCTGGCTGCCCCTCAGTGGATGGCCCGGGACCACATGTTTTATCCTACAGGAGAGGGTCCCAGCTTCCCATCATGGGGCCTGGGTCACCTCTGGGCTTCTTGGTGAGAAGCTGCCCCTCTCCAACCTCAGTCGCCCTGCCCAGAGGGGCCCTTGATGGTCAGTGGTGAAACTCAGGTCCCTTTTCTATCCCCGGTGCTGGGTGACTGTAGCCAGTTCACCCAACCTCTCTGGGTCTGCTTTCCTCTTCCAGGTTCCTTCCAGTCTTCAGAGGATTTGTGGGTCTGAGTTCCATGGAAGAATGCCTTTAAGGAATATTTAAGAAATATTTCATTCTGATCACACTTTTCAGTACAAACGGAGGCCCAAAGTGCAGTTACAGAAAAACAAAAATAGTTTCCGTTCAGTTTTGGAAGACATGGAAGGATTTTCTTTAAACACATTGGGTGGAGTTGGGCAATTGGTTTCTGTTGAGGGAGGTGACCTAGTTGCTCCTAGATGGGGAGGCCAGCCAGGGATGAAAAGTTTGCTTGTATAATCTGTGGCCACACAGTGGGTGCCTGGGAGTCGACAACAGTGGGCGAAGGGCAAGAGCACTGGTTTTGGAGTCAGTGATGTGCCCCACCATCCAGCCTCCTAGGCTGTGACACCAGGTTCAGAGCTGGTGTGAGAGATGAAATGGGTGTGAAGGATCTTTGCAAATAGCAAACTACTAGAGTAGATGAGCTCCTCCTAAATATGAATGTCAGTGCCTAAGCTTTTTAATCATAGTTCAGGCTCTGCCATACTGTGTTGTCCTCATCAGGACCCCTCAAGAAAGTTTACCTCTGACAGCCCCAGTGTAACTTACTGTTATTTTTATCTGATGAGGTTAGACTTTGTCTTCCATGAAAGATACAGTTGTCTTTAGGGAGTGTGCTGAACAATCAGGGCCTAGAGAAGCAACAGTGAATGTTCTGCATGCCAGGAAGGAGGCAAAGAAGGAATTACAGCTGACTCTTGGACAACAGAGGGATTGGGGCGCTGACCCCTGTGCTATCAAAAATTCACATAACTTTTGACTCCCCCAAAACTTAACTACTAATAGCCTGCTGTTGACTGGAAGCAGATAACATAAACAGTCAATTAACACATGTTGTATCTGTGTTATATACTGTATTCTTATAATAAAGCAAGCTAGAGAAAAGTTTTTTCAAATTGTTGCAAGTCTCCAAAAAATTTTCCAATATATTTATTGAAAAAAATCTGCATGTAAGTGGACCTGTGCAGTTCAAACCTATGTTGTTCAAGGATCAACTGTATAATCAAAAAATATTCATAATAGGTGTTATTTAGTTAGGCTGTTCAGCGCCAAAGGCAGAGAATTAATATCCCTAGGTGTTACCCTTAGCTGTTAATTAGCTGGGCTATTAATTCTATGAGGATGATGTTTTAATGGCTTTGTTCACTGCTGAAGCTCCAGCACCTGACACATAGTAGACCTAAAACAATGTTGGAATGTCTCAGGAGCTGAGGGGCCTTTAAGGTCACTGGTGAATGGACTGTTTCCATTGACATTTGGGGAAAAGGGGCCAGGAGGGGAATGGACTTGTCTAAGGCTACACAGGGATTGTGTGGCCGAGCCAGGATCAGAACCCAACAAACAGCAGAGCTCGTGTTGGGCCAGAGCTGATACCTAGCACTCATGACTTTGTTTTGCTTTCCCAAGAGCCTAAGAGGCAGCTATTATTATCCTCTGATTATAAATGAAGAAATCACTCAGAGAAGTTAAGGGACTTTAGCAAAATCACACAGCTGTTCAGTTCCAGACTTGAAATCCCATCCTAACATGAAAATGGGGAACTGGCTTCTCTTGAAATAGGTGAATGGTAGAGGCACTCCCTTGGGGCAGCAGCTTAGCTCTCTCCATTCTCCCTGGTCACCGCCTGGGTGGCTTCTCCCTAGTCTGGGTTTTCCTAGGCCCATAGGTGTTTTGTCTGTGTGGGTGAGCCCCATCAAGGCAGAGGGCCTGTCTATTTCATTCACCATGTGCCCCTGCCTCTGTAGTGTTGGCCTATCATATAGTAGACACTGAGTAAAATCTGTGGGATGGGTATAATCTGGCACTTTTCCACTCCAAAGCCCATTGGCTACACCATCCCTGCAACTTGGTCTTCTGTTTTGCCCCAGAGGTACTAGGGGACTTGGACAGTGTGTATCATGTAGAGATGAGAAAGAACTAGCGGTGGAAAGTGAGGTGAGGAAGTTGGCTTTAAGCTTAGGAAAAGGGGAGTGTGAACTGGGCAGGGGAAGGGTGCTAGGAAGTGGTGGGGTGAGGAAGAAGGCTGCTCAGACTGAGAGGAACTCTCACGTGGGCCCTGGAGATCTCAGTTCTGAGGCTCACCCACCCCAGAGGCCTCCCGAACCTGCAAGGCATACCTCCGCCAGGCCACATGGCTTTTGGATCAGCTACTAGCACATTCTACCTCCTTCATCTTCTCTCTCGGGGACAGGGCTGCTGGGGCTGCAAGAGCTGAGGCCCTTTCCCTGGGGGTTCCATTTCCCATCACCTCTTGGGCCTGTGGGCAAATACAGATCTTCAGGGCTCTGTGAATCCAGGGGGTTACTCTGAATGATTTTTACCGAGAACAGTTTAATTATTAAATAAGGTCAGTGTGCTCAGAAGTCCAAACTCCCGCCAAATTTCCCTGGTCCCTAAATGCATCCTCAGAGAAAAGTAAATGTTTAAAGAGACAGTTAACTTCCTGAGGCCCCCAAATCAGTAGAATCAGCTACTGGGGGCTAAAAGAGAATAGAATTTTTTAGAGAACCCCAAGCAGATCTCTCAGGCTGGGGATATTTTAAATACTACTACTGTTAATTATTAATAATAATAGCAATCATTTAAACTGAATCCCTAACTGTACTAACACTTTGTTCAAAAACTTAAAGAAGTTTAATCTTTACAGCAATCTATGAGGTAGATAATATAATTTTCATGAGAGAGCTAAAGGTCAGAGAAGGTGAGTCACTTGTCTTAGGTCACACAGCTAGTATGTTATAGATTCAGGAGTCAAATCTGGTTTGTCTGAATCTGAAGTCCTTTGCAAGCCTTTACAATTTCTGTTTTCTCTTTACTCCTAACTTACTTCCATTCTGATTCCCACTGAGTAGAGGAGCCATTCAGGTTTTCCCGATATCCATCAACCAAGCCCTGGACGTCTGGTCTCAGCCTAGCTTTGCCAGCCTTGCTGTGTGATCTTGGGTAAGTCGCACCTTTTCAGCCAGCCCTCGGTTTCCCCAGTTGTTTCACACAGAGGTTAATGGTGAGTTTCCTTCTGCAGCTAAGGCCTGCTTAGTAAGACAGAGTTTAGCCTGGATATGACCAGTGAGGGAGTGGTGATGTGGGGGGAAGAGGGAGGTGTGATGGTGTCTTTGGCCCCACCCTCTGGTGACATCACACAAGATACCTCCAGTTCCTGGAAGCCCCGCCCCTAATGATTCTCACCTGTTGAAGTGCTGCCCAGTGCTTGGCATCTGGCGAATCTGCCCAGTACCACAGCAGAAGTCACCAGCCCCTGGGATTGAGAAAAACCTCTAGGTAACAGTGAGATTTGGGAGGCTTGGAGGGGGCCACAGAGGTGTACTGGGTTGGGATAGGATGCCTGGAACAGGCTGGTCATGGCAGCCTGGTGGGCAGACTACTCAGAGGATGCTCTGAGGGTGCCCTCTGGAGCCCACCCTACCCTGGCTCATGCCGGACCCCTGCCCCTGCTGCTTTTCCCCGATTTGGGGCTGCTTTCCTGAGGAGTCAGGAGATGGAAACTAATTCTGAAAGTAGACCTGGTCAAAAGGAATGGGGCCTCTGGCTGGGGTCTAAACGAAATAGGGTGGCAGAACCTCTGTTATCCAGTATGTGGCCTCTGGAGTCTCTGCTGAGGGTCCCCTGTGTCTAGGGGCAGGGAAGGGCTGTGGGTGAGCTGTCATCTACCTGAGGGGGCAGTTGTGAGCCGCGGCTTCACCGGTGCAGAGCAAGTGGGTAGCTGGTAACTGGGGGAGACTGAGGTCCCTGAATGAGTCAGTTGCTAGGGGTGGGTACAAAATAGGTCACTGTTCTTACTTTTATCATTCAGCTCTCAAATGTACACTGCTGAGTTTCATGGTCAAGTGACTTTTCTATCCCATACACAACTCCAGGTCTGTTTCCCACAATCTGAATACATGGGGAGCTGTGTGACCTGGAATGCATCGTTTCTTTCCTCTGGACCTCAATTTTTCTACCCATAAAATGGGTGTCATCACACTCACCTTGCAGGACTGCATGAGGCTAAATGAGACAATATAACAAGTCTCGTCTACCCTTTTTGAGTCTTGTTTCCCTATTTGTAAAATGGTTTAATAGGGTTGTCTGGATCAAAGGAAGTAGTCACGGTAACTGTTTAACACATGACTTTGTACATGGCAAGAGCTTAATAAAGGACAGCTTTAAAAACAAGTCCAGACAGAGCAGGTGTTTCCAAGTCACCTTTCAAATTTTAAACTTTATTCACTAAAATATAGTCCATCATATAGAATATAATCTCCAGAATGTCATTGCTTGTTTTCATTTCCTATACCTTACCTGTTCCAAATTACTAGATTTTCTATGCCACTTTTCCTTTTCTTGTGGGTGATGGAGAGTTAACTAATTCTTATGGGTTTGCTTGAACCTGTTGAAGACCTGATTTATCCTACTACATTATGATTATATGTTACAATATAATAAATATACATTCCTTTAGTACATTGCAGTTGACAAAGAACATTCCTATCCATTGTTTTATGTAATTCTCCTGACAACCCCTTCACGGTTGGTTTTATCATCTCCATTTTACAGGTAAGGAAACTGAGGCCAGGCCCAGAAAGAACAAGGTGGGTTGGGGGTGGTGCCAGGACTTGGATCCTGACATCACGTCTCTCCCAGTGGACTCACAGCTGCTGGGTCCATAGCAGTGCCCTTCCTAGACAGTCTGCTCTAAGCCCACCATCCCTCAGTAGGTATGCTCCCAAGATGGGCCGGACACGTCTCCCCACTCTGCCTTGTTGTGGTCTTTGCACACTAAAGGAGCAGACAATCCATGCCATTGTTGGTCCAGTACTCACTGAGGGCCTACGATGTGCAGTTTCCTCACCTTCAGGTGCCCCACTCCGGGCGGGAGATTGACACCAGGGAGTAGAAAGTAGGTGTTTTCATAAAGGTTCAGACAACATGCCTTGGGGCTGGGCAGGTCAGGAGAAGCTGAGCAAGATCTGGGCTTTAGGTAGAAACTTGAATGAAGCAGGGGTGCAGCGGTGGGAAAGCCAGGCTATCTCGACCAGAAGTCGCCGAATGAGGGTGGGGGGTGTGGGTTTAAATGGCTTCGGGACCGAGCCGGGACTCTCCTGCTACAACTCTCCGAGGGCGCCGGGCCCAGAACCTGGAGCTGGTGGTTCAAATCCGCGGGCCGGAAGCACAAACCGCTAGTGCAGCCTGCACAGCGCCAGCGCCGAGCCGCAGGGCTTGGGCACCACTCCTCTCTGGGTCCCCGTGTGCCCATCTGCAGAACGTCCCCAGGAACTCGCAAGGCTCTCGCGTCTGGGCGACACAAGTCACCTCCGCCCGCAGCACGTGGGCGCGGCGGGCACAGCACACGCTCCAGCCCGGCCGGACAAGCGCGCTCCCGCCGTCGCCTCCCCGCTGGGGCGGGGCCACGACCGCCGCCCCTCTATTTGCGGGCTGGCGGGGCCGCGCTCCCAGCTCCGCTCGCGGCAGGTACCCGGGTCGGGGCAGCGGGAGGCCGGGAGGGCGGGCGGTGAGGCCGCCGCGTGGGGCACGACGGGGCGCGGGGTGCTGTGCGGGCTGGAGCTCGGGGCTCGGGGCGCGGCGGCGTGAGGACAGGCGGGACAGCGGCGCAGGAGAGGGAGCATCTCCGGTTACGAGTGGAGGATGCCAGGGGGAATCAGCTGGAGGGGCCCGCCCCGCGGAGGGAGTGGGAGCAGGAAGGAGGTTCATCTCGGGGAAGTCTGGAGGCATGAGAGAGGGAATCGGAGCCGGAGGAGGAGCACCTCTGTGAGGGAGTTGGCAGAGGGAAGAGCTGGCCTGGGAGGGCTCTGGTGCCTGGAGGAGGATGGGCGGAGAGGTGGCTTCCCCTGGGGGGCATCTTGGGAGACGCCAGGCAGTACCTGGAACTGGGTAATGTGAGGAGGTCCCAGCTGGGAAATTGGAAACAGTGGGAACAGCACTGCTGGTGATTTAGAGGGGCTCTTGCTCCAAAAGAGTCTAAGCCCGTTGGGATGGGAAAGCCTCCCTTGGTGTCAGGAGAGCATGGGTGTACCCTTCACCCAGTGAGGGAAGAGGAGGGAGCTCCACACCATCCACAGCACTTGCCTCAAGCCTACAGGCTTTGAGAACCCCGACTGGCCTGGCCGAGTGAGGGGCCAGATCAGGCCAAGGCTTCAGAGTTTGCAAGTTTGATGGATTCGCAGACCTGGCTGCCCCTCAGTGGATGGCCCGGGACCACATGTTTTATCCTACAGGAGAGGGTCCCAGCTTCCCATCATGGGGCCTGGGTCACCTCTGGGCTTCTTGGTGAGAAGCTGCCCCTCTCCAACCTCAGTCGCCCTGCCCAGAGGGGCCCTTGATGGTCAGTGGTGAAACTCAGGTCCCTTTTCTATCCCCGGTGCTGGGTGACTGTAGCCAGTTCACCCAACCTCTCTGGGTCTGCTTTCCTCTTCCAGGTTCCTTCCAGTCTTCAGAGGATTTGTGGGTCTGAGTTCCATGGAAGAATTCCTTTAAGGAATATTTAAGAAATATTTCATTCTGATCACACTTTTCAGTACAAACGGAGGCCCAAAGTGCAGTTACAGAAAAACAAAAATAGTTTCCGTTCAGTTTTGGAAGACATGGAAGGATTTTCTTTAAACACATTGGGTGGAGTTGGGCAATTGGTTTGTGTTGAGGGAGGTGACCTAGTTGCTCCTAGATGGGGAGGCCAGCCAGGGATGAAAAGTTTGCTTGTATAATCTGTGGCCACACAGTGGGTGCCTGGGAGTCGACAACAGTGGGCGAAGGGCAAGAGCACTGGTTTTGGAGTCAGTGATGTGCCCCACCATCCAGCCTCCTAGGCTGTGACACCAGGTTCAGAGCTGGTGTGAGAGATGAAATGGGTGTGAAGGATCTTTGCAAATAGCAACTACTAGAGTAGATAAGCTCCTCCTAAATATGAATGTCAGTGCCTAAGCTTTTTAATCATAGTTCAGGCTCTGCCATACTGTGTTGTCCTCATCAGGACCCCTCAAGAAAGTTTACCTCTGACAGCCCCAGTGTAACTTACTGTTATTTTTATCTGATGAGGTTAGACTTTGTCTTCCATGAAAGATACAGTTGTCTTTAGGGAGTGTGCTGAACAATCAGGGCCTAGAGAAGCAACAGTGAATGTTCTGCATGCCAGGAAGGAGGCAAAGAAGGAATTACAGCTGACTCTTGGACAACAGAGGGATTGGGGCGCTGACCCCTGTGCTATCAAAAATTCACATAACTTTTGACTCCCCCAAAACTTAACTACTAATAGCCTGCTGTTGACTGGAAGCAGATAACATAAACAGTCAATTAACACATGTTGTATCTGTGTTATATACTGTATTCTTATAATAAAGCAAGCTAGAGAAAAGTTTTTTCAAATTGTTGCAAGTCTCCAAAAAATTTTCCAATATATTTATTGAAAAAAATCTGCATGTAAGTGGACCTGTGCAGTTCAAACCTATGTTGTTCAAGGATCAACTGTATAATCAAAAAATATTCATAATAGGTGTTATTTAGTTAGGCTGTTCAGCGCCAAAGGCAGAGAATTAATATCCCTAGGTGTTACCCTTAGCTGTTAATTAGCTGGGCTATTAATTCTATGAGGATGATGTTTTAATGGCTTTGTTCACTGCTGAAGCTCCAGCACCTGACACATAGTAGACCTAAAACAATGTTGGAATGTCTCAGGAGCTGAGGGGCCTTTAAGGTCACTGGTGAATGGACTGTTTCCATTGACATTTGGGGAAAGGGGGCCAGGAGGGGAATGGGCTTGTCTAAGGCTACACAGGGATTGTGTGGCCGAGCCAGGATCAGAACCCAACAAACAGCAGAGCTCGTGTTGGGCCAGAGCTGATACCTAGCACTCATGACTTTGTTTTGCTTTCCCAAGAGCCTAAGAGGCAGCTATTATTATCCTCTGATTATAAATGAAGAAATCACTCAGAGAAGTTAAGGGACTTTAGCAAAATCACACAGCTGTTCAGTTCCAGACTTGAAATCCCATCCTAACATGAAAATGGGGAACTGGCTTCTCTTGAAATAGGTGAATGGTAGAGGCACTCCCTTGGGGCAGCAGCTTAGCTCTCTCCATTCTCCCTGGTCACCGCCTGGGTGGCTTCTCCCTAGTCTGGGTTTTCCTAGGCCCATAGGTGTTTTGTCTGTGTGGGTGAGCCCCATCAAGGCAGAGGGCCTGTCTATTTCATTCACCATGTGCCCCTGCCTCTGTAGTGTTGGCCTATCATATAGTAGACACTGAGTAAAATCTGTGGGATGGGTATAATCTGGCACTTTTCCACTCCAAAGCCCATTGGCTACCCCATCCCTGCAACTTGGTCTTCTGTTTTGCCCCAGAGGTACTAGGGGACTTGGACAGTGTGTATCATGTAGAGATGAGAAAGAACTAGCGGTGGAAAGTGAGGTGAGGAAGTTGGCTTTAAGCTTAGGAAAAGGGGAGTGTGAACTGGGCAGGGGAAGGGTGCTAGGAAGTGGTGGGGTGAGGAAGAAGGCTGCTCAGACTGAGAGGAACTCTCACGTGGGCCCTGGAGATCTCAGTTCTGAGGCTCACCCACCCCAGAGGCCTCCCGAACCTGCAAGGCATACCTCCGCCAGGCCACATGGCTTTTGGATCAGCTGCTAGCACATTCTACCTCCTTCATCTTCTCTCTCGGGGACAGGGCTGCTGGGGCTGCAAGAGCTGAGGCCCTTTCCCTGGGGGTTCCATTTCCCATCACCTCTTGGGCCTGTGGGCAAATACAGATCTTCAGGGCTCTGTGAATCCAGGGGGTTACTCTGAATGATTTTTGCCGAGAACAGTTTAATTATTAAATAAGGTCAGTGTGCTCAGAAGTCCAAACTCCCGCCAAATTTCCCTGGTCCCTAAATGCATCCTCAGAGAAAAGTAAATGTTTAAAGAGACAGTTAACTTCCTGAGGCCCCCAAATCAGTAGAATCAGCTACTGGGGGCTAAAAGAGAATAGAATTTTTTAGAGAACCCCAAGCAGATCTCTCAGGCTGGGGATATTTTAAATACTACTACTGTTAATTATTAATAATAATAGCAATCATTTAAACTGAATCCCTAACTGTACTAACACTTTGTTCAAAAACTTAAAGAAGTTTAATCTTTACAGCAATCTATGAGGTAGATAATATAATTTTCATGAGAGAGCTAAAGGTCAGAGAAGGTGAGTCACTTGTCTTAGGTCACACAGCTAGTATGTTATAGATTCAGGAGTCAAATCTGGTTTGTCTGAATCTGAAGTCCTTTGCAAGCCTTTACAATTTCTGTTTTCTCTTTACTCCTAACTTACTTCCATTCTGATTCCCACTGAGTAGAGGAGCCATTCAGGTTTTCCCGATATCCATCAACCAAGCCCTGGACGTCTGGTCTCAGCCTAGCTTTGCCAGCCTTGCTGTGTGATCTTGGGTAAGTCGCACCTTTTCAGCCAGCCCTCGGTTTCCCCAGTTGTTTCACACAGAGGTTAATGGTGAGTTTCCTTCTGCAGCTAAGGCCTGCTTAGTAAGACAGAGTTTAGCCTGGATATGACCAGTGAGGGAGTGGTGATGTGGGGGGAAGAGGGAGGTGTGATGGTGTCTTTGGCCCCACCCTCTGGTGACATCACACAAGATACCTCCAGTTCCTGGAAGCCCCGCCCCTAATGATTCTCACCTGTTGAAGTGCTGCCCAGTGCTTGGCATCTGGCGAATCTGCCCAGTACCACAGCAGAAGTCACCAGCCCCTGGGATTGAGAAAAACCTCTAGGTAACAGTGAGATTTGGGAGGCTTGGAGGGGGCCACAGAGGTGTACTGGGTTGGGATAGGATGCCTGGAACAGGCTGGTCATGGCAGCCTGGTGGGCAGACTACTCAGAGGATGCTCTGAGGGTGCCCTCTGGAGCCCACCCTACCCTGGCTCATGCCGGACCCCTGCCCCTGCTGCTTTTCCCCGATTTGGGGCTGCTTTCCTGAGGAGTCAGGAGATGGAAACTAATTCTGAAAGTAGACCTGGTCAAAAGGAATGGGGCCTCTGGCTGGGGTCTAAACGAAATAGGGTGGCAGAACCTCTGTTATCCAGTATGTGGCCTCTGGAGTCTCTGCTGAGGGTCCCCTGTGTCTAGGGGCAGGGAAGGGCTGTGGGTGAGCTGTCATCTACCTGAGGGGGCAGTTGTGAGCCGCGGCTTCACCGGTGCAGAGCAAGTGGGTAGCTGGTAACTGGGGGAGACTGAGGTCCCTGAATGAGTCAGTTGCTAGGGGCCTAAGGAAACAATTTACAGAAAAGTCCTTGGTTACCTGCTTTTGACCAGTATTGTCCAGAGTAGTTCTAGGAGAGGCAGATAGATGTGACGGGATGCAGAACAGCAGCTGAGCATGGAGGAGTGCCTTTGTTCTGCAGAGAGAGGGCTGGGTCCAAGGCCTGGCTCCACCTTGCTTGCTCTCTATCTCTGTGACCTTGGTTGAGGAGCTCCAACCTCTCTTAAATTTTACTATCCTCAAAAACAAAATGGGCACAATTATACCCACCTCACAAGCTACTTATGAGAATTACTTGCAGCAGGGTTGTAAAGAGGGATCATATAGTAAATGCTTATTACATTTCAGCTGGCTTTATAATTGTTCCTGGGAAAGGAATCCTTGGACATGTAAGCTTGGTAAAGTAGGTTCAACAAAGTGAAGTGGGCTTTTTTGCTGCAGGACTTCTCAGAGCCTTTAATATGTTGTTATGCCTTGGGAAGTTCTAAGAATGGGATATGGAGCATTGCACAGATTAAATGAATCACAGGGACCCAGAACTACGCCACCATCAAATGTCATTATTCCCTGCCTCTGCCCTTGTGGTGGAATGGAAACCTTACGGATTGGGCAATTCTGGGGAAGGCCTTCCAGTCTCTTGGCTGTTTTTTTCCTCAATGTAAAACCAGGGAGCTGCATGAGATGCTTTCAGAGGCCTTCTCTGTCTCTCTGAGGTTCTGAGTTGGGAAGACAAAATTGTAGACAACAGTAGAGGCCAGATTGTTGAAGTGAGGCTGAAGCCCAGTCTTTTGGGAAGAAGAAGAAATCCAATGTTGGCCCCACTGCTAGCAAGGTGGGCCGTGGGTTCTTGTGCTCTGGATGGAAGTGGCCCCATTAATTAGTTCATCAGCAGGGTCTGTTTCCTAAACCTGCCCTGTGCCAGGCTACTGGGGACATAGGAAGTGTTAGAGTCCTCTACCCCACTGTCCTAGCACCCCTTGGGCAGTAGTGTGAGTTATTTAACTCCCCCCACCCCGACTAGACTAGGAAAGGCCAGACAGCAGGAGGAGCTTAGGGGTACAAATCAGGCTAGAGTGAAAGGAGTGTGGGCTGGGGGCTTGTCTGCGTGCTGCCTTTGCATTGCAAGCCCCCTGCTTTTATTTGGCTATGTGTAAATTATGGGGTGGCTTTTGGGGTGATCATGCTACTGCTGTGGCAGACAACCTGAGCGCTTCATCCTGCCCAGTCTCCTTGCCTCTTACAGTGACTGGTGCAAAGGCAGTTGCAGTAAATACCTGATGAATGATGGACAGAAAACCTGGATGCTGAGTCCAATAAGCTTGTTGGAGGGAATTTATTTAAGGGAGGGAGTTGTCTGGAAGATGCTAGTGTTTCAAAAGCTGTTTGATTTAATGAGAGACACAATGAATAGTGATATGCTTGAATTAGGTAACTGGTACCAGGCAAAACTATATATGGAGAATACGTAATTATGAAATGGTTAGTAACACTTGCCACTTGGTCTTGTAAAGTTTTGTGTAGTGGTGAAGATTGTAGACTGAGTTCAGATCATGCCTCTGCCTTTTCCTAGCTAGGTGGGCAGGCAGGGTACTTAATTTCTCTGTGCCTTAGTATCGTTATCTGAAAAAAATGGGAATAATGATAGTACCTACCTCATAGGGTGTTATGAAGCTTAAATGAGTGAGTTACACATAAGTGCTTAAAACAGTGCCTGGCACATAGCAAGTGCCGTCTAAGCATTTCTTACAATTTTCCTCTCTATAACCTCTACCATACCATGAAGTTCATTCCTGAGGGTGGGGATCAAATCCTTTTCCACTCTGTGCTTTCCTGGACCCAGCATAGGACCTGAGGCAGAGGAGGAGCTTGGTAAATGGCTGCTAAATGAATGAATGAATGAGTTTTAAACACTACATTCTATAACCTGTAGGTTATAGAAGGTGCGGGAGTAGGAAGGAGGTCTCCTGGAGGTGGCAGCTTGTACTGGCCCTAAAGGATTTCACAGGAGGGAGAGGAAGTTGGCATAGGGTGTGACATTTGTGTTGGGTCATGGGATCTTAAATGCCAGGGTGAGGGCTTAGATTTGATTTACTTGGAATTAGCAACCATGAGTGGGGATCAGAAGGCTGGAGGAGGGATCTTTTGAGTGGAGGGAAAGGGCTGTTTTTTATAGGATCACTTGTTACTGGGGACTTTCAGGAAAAAAGTGGTTTTTTGAGTTGGGGACTTGAAGGGTATGAAGTATTGTCAGGATGCTGTTACATTCTTTCATTCAACAAACATTGGGTGCTGGCTATCTGCTCAGCACCAGGGGTTCACAAAATAATGAGGCAAACTGCCTACCTTTGATGAGCTCACATTAACAATTTTTATGCCCATGAGAAGTCTTACAGTGGCCAGAGAATAGATTCTGATGTAGTCACTCAAGTAGAGAGGTTCAGTGGGCCAGGAAAGTATCACAGTAGGAATGCGGTTGAATTTTGAGTGGTGAATAGGAGTTTGCCAGGTAGGCAAGATGAGGAAAATGTCTCAGATGGAGGGAACAGCTTGTGCAAAGCTATGGACATGTGAAACAGCATGCCCAGGAGTTTGGTGAGCCTTTAGTTGGATTTGAAGTACACTGGGTTGAGCAGTAAGGCTGGGAAAGGTAGCAGGGATGAGATCATTTAGTGTAATGGAAGGTCAGTGGGAGATCCTGGCTGCTGAGAAGGGGTAAAGGTAGAGGCAGTGGGTCTGTTAGCGAGGCATTGTTGTTACCAGGTGAACACTGATGGCAGCACAAACATGGGAGAAGACAATGGGGCCTGCTCTGTGGAACCCAGACTGAAGAGGAAATGGCTGAGGTAGTGAGCCTTATTATTTAATGCAGTGCTCAAATACTTATTGAGCACCTATTATGTGCTAGGCACTGTTCTAGGCACTTGGGATACATCAGGTAGCAGAACAATCATGAAGTCAGAGCTGAGCTCTCTCCTAGGATGACTCCTGTCCTCTGAAGCTCTGGGTAGGGAAGGCGGGGGGAAGGGAGAAAAACTGGGCGTTAGAGTCCCCAGCTGCTGCTCAAGGTGGTAAGGGGGTGAGGACAGCAGCCCCCTGACTTAGTTCTGGCCTCTCTCTCAGCACCCTGCCTGACCCACAGCCATGGCCACAATGGTGGCCCAAAAGCTCAGCCACCTCCTGCCCAGTTTGTGGCAGGTCCACCAGGAGCCTCAGCCATCTGTGCAGCCAGAGCCTGTCTTCACTGTAGACCGAGCCGAGGTGCCACCCCTCTTCTGGAAGCCATACATCTATGTGGGTTACCGGCCGCTGCATCGGACCTGGCGCTTCTACTTCCGCACACTGTTCCAGCAGCACAACGAGGCGGTGAATGTCTGGACCCACCTGCTGGCCGCCCTGGTGCTGCTGCTGCGGCTGGTCATCTCTGTGGGGACCGTGGACTTCTGGGGAGACCCACATGCCCTGCCCCTCTTCATCATTGTACTCGCCTCCTTCACCTACCTCTCCCTCAGTGCCTTGGCTCATCTCCTGCAGGCCAAGTCTGAGTTCTGGCATTACAGTTTCTTCTTCCTGGACTACGTGGGTGTGGCCGTGTACCAGTTTGCCAGTGCCCTGGCGCACTTCTACTACACCATCGAGCCTGCTTGGCATGCCCAGGTGCAGACCATTTTCCTGCCCATGGCTGCCTTTCTCGCCTGGCTTTCCTGCACTGGCTCCTGCTACAACAAATACATCCAGAGGCCTGGACTGCTGGGCCGCACTTGCCAGGAGGTGCCCTCGGCACTGGCGTATGCACTGGACATCAGCCCTGTGGTGCACCGCATCCTTTTGTCCCCTGACCCTGTCACTGATGACCCGGCACTTCTCTACCACAAGTGTCAGGTGGTCTTCTTCCTGCTGGCTGCTGTGTTCTTCTCAGCCTTCATGCCAGAGCGCTGGTTTCCTGGCAGCTGCCATGTCTTTGGGCAGGGCCACCAGCTCTTCCATGTGTTCCTGGTGCTGTGCACACTGGCTCAGCTGGAGGCCGTGGCACTGGACTATAAGGCTCGGCGGTCCATCTATGAGCCTCTGCATACCCGCTGGCCCCACAATTTTTCTGGCCTCTTCCTGCTCACTGTGGGCAGCAGCGTGCTCACTGCATTTTTCCTGAGCCAGCTGGTACGATGCAAACTCAATCGGAAGACCCAGTGAAAGGGGTGGCAGCTGGTAGGGAGGGAGGTATAATGGGGACCCAGGGGTCCGGGCTTGGCTCCAGATGGGAACAGGGCCTGGTAAAGTTGTTTGTATCTGGCCTGTGGTGTCTCTCTGTGAACGTCTCAGCTGCAAGGGTGGCACTGGCCAGTCCTTGGATTTGCGGATTGGCTGGTAGCTGCTGGGGTCCACTCCTGGGCCTGCCCCAGCTCCCTGCCCTAAGAGAAAGAGATAAAGATGTGGCACGCCCCACTCTCACCCCTTACTACTGATTTGCCTCCCACAGTTGCTTCTCGTTAGGGGAGAGGATGGGGAGTCAGCTAGGGCCAGGACTTTGTTTTGGGGCTTCCAAATGATCTGGGGTGGCGGGGGGTGAATCTGGATTTTAGGCCAGAGTCAGATTTGAGCTGAAAAGCAGAGGAGCAACCCCCATCTATCCAGATTTCATTGATGGATAGGGAAAGGGAAGGCTCCAAATGAATGCAAGATCTCACCATTATTTGAACCTCAGCCTGGAGTTTGAGAACTCCAGAGAGCCCCCAAAGGTAGAAGATTGTGCCAGGTGGAAATGGATCCCATCCAGTGTCCTATACCTTCTCAGTCACTGTCCTACGCAGTGAGCCCTGACCCACCTAGCACAAGCCTGTATGTCCCACACATCTTGTTCCCAGCTTCTCTCCTGTTCCCTTGTTCATGATTCAGTTATCTATTCAGTGTTTCCTGGGCCTCTGCTTAGAAGCAAGCCACTGCCTAGGCCCTGTGGATTAATGTGGATGATAAAGGCTTTAATATCAGAATGAATTGTCAGGCAAAGCAATGAGGAGGGAGTAATCAGTGCTGCCTGGGACCTTAGGTTGGGAAGGCTCTGGATTGGGAAGGGCAAATAGGAATTTGCTGATAGCCGAGAGGAAGGGCATTCTAGGCACAGGGAAAAAGCTGTACAAAGGCCAAGAGGTATGGAAGGAAGAGTTGAGTGGAGCTGGAGTTAGGGATTGGGTGGTCTGGCCTCTGATATATCCTGGATGCAATAAAGTGACTGTGACAACAGTTGCCTCTTTGGTTTTTTTGTCTGTTCTCCCAGGGATGGGGCTTTGGGTCCCAATGGCCTGCTCACAGTTGGAGGTTTTCCTGGAGAAGCTGGGGTCTCTGGGTGTGGGCACAGGAAGGAGGGAGGCAGCTCCTATTTTATCTTTGCTTGGGGTTGGGGTTCTCATATACTATATATATGAACTTTTTTGTTTTGTGGCAGGGACGGGGGGGTAGTTTAAAAAAATTTAGAAGTTAGAGGAATGTGTTTAAATATACATAACCCCACCTTACAGTTTGACATAGATTTCATTTTTCGGTCTTTCCTTCAGTCAAGGAGGATTTTATATGTTAATGTTTATAATATATGTTAATGTTTATAATATGCTTTCCCACAGTACTAAGCAACAGGTGAACAGTGAAGTAAAATTAGAAAAAAACCTAAATGAATAAGAAATTATCACTCTACTACTAAAATGTCCTGATGTATATATGCGTGTGTGTGTGTGTGTGTGTGTGTATGTGTGTATATAAACACACATATAAATAACATCTATGGAGATTGTGGTTAGGGATGGAAGTACTAATGGGATGCCAGCACTTTCGTATTTCTGAGGGTCTTTCAGAATTTACAAAGTACTTTCACAAGTGTTAGCTCATGTGATCCTTCTAAAGTCCGAGGTCACACATAAGCGATTAAGGTGGCACTGGAATCTAGTTCTCAACTCCAAATTTTTAGCTTTCATTTTACTTAACGTTTTCTAGACCCTCTTCCATAATGGTTTCATAATTATGCTTAGGGTTTTTTCTTTTCTTGTTTCAAAGCTAATTTATAAACTTGAGTGTATGACAACCACTTAGGGTAGTGCTGAGTGAGCTTTTAAGAAGGCCGACCTGAGGCTCTGCTCCACCTTCCTTTCGGAAGGACTGTGAGGATTCAACCATGAGCCTGGGAAAACCCTGAGCCAGGGAATAGTTATTTGTTTACAGTAAGAAAGTGCAACTCAGCAAAAATAAAATGCATCTTCCTCGTGCAATGTCGCGAACGCGTGCACATAGCATAATTTCCAGAAAGCAACTCTCGAATGCGAAGATCAGAAAGGACAGGAAATCTTTGGAATAGAGAAAGGTGCTCTACGTACACGTAGCGGTGGTGGTTAAGGAGCCCGACTGGGCTTAGGGGAGGGGCGGAGCCTGGGTCGAGGTGGAACTGACGCTGGGGGCGGTGCCTGCGCCGGGCCGACAACGGCGTAGCCCCGCCCCCGGCGTTGGCGGGAGATCTGAACGTTGGCAGAGTCGGTTACGGCCATTCCCTTAGGCAGCCGAACCGGAGTCGATGGTTTGGTTAGTCTCCTCAGACGCCATGAGGAGGAGAGGCCCCGAGGTGGAGGCCTGCGGCGTGTGGCTGGACGCGGCAGCGCTGAAGAAGCGGAAAGTTCAGGTGGGACGTTGGGGCACGAGAGGGTGGGTGAGGGAGCTAGGGGCCTGCCGGCTGGAGAAAAGAGGAGTTTGGGGGGACCGGGAGGTGATGGAAGCAAAGTCGGGGACGAGAAAGGAACAGCTCTGGGATGTCATTGGTGAGAGGGAGTCTGAAAAAGGGTGAAAAATGGGGTTTGGGAAGAGTGGAGAGAAAATGGCGGAAGGCAGGCAGTTTGTGGATGGATGTGGAGACTGGGACAGCAAGGCTTCGAGGTATGGGGAGAAGGTGGAGAGAAAATTTGCTCCGAGGAGGTTTTTTCTTTCTTTTTCTTTTTAAGTGTAATGGACATACAATATCCTATTCGTTTCAGGTGTACGTCATAGTGATTTGGTATTTTTATACTTTCTGAAATCCCCACTGTAACTCTAGTTACTGTGTGTCACCAAAATTATTTGAGTGTTACTGAATATATTCCCTATACTGTACATTACATCCCCATTACTAACATTTCATAACTGGAAGTTTGTGCCTCTTAATCGCCTTCACCTAGTTTGCCTGCCCTGCTTCCATATCCCTCCAGTAACCAGTGGTTTGTTTTCCATATTCAGGGGTCTGTTTCTGTTTTAAGATTCCACATATAAGTGAAGTCAGACAATATTTGTCTTTGTTTGATTTATTTCACTTAGCATAATACCCTCTGGGTCCATCCATGCTATCACAAATGGCAAGATTTCATTCCTTATAGTTGAGAAATATTTCATTGTGTGTGTACGTACCACACCTCCTTATCCATTAATCTATCAATGGACTTAGGTTGTTTCCGTATCGCAGCTATTGCTTCCATACTGGGGCTATTGTAAATAATGCTGCAATGAACATAGCAGTGCATATATCTCTTTGAATTTGGTGTTTTTGTTTTCTTTGGGTTAACCTTAAAAAGAAAACAGTTATTTTACCAGCAAAAATGGGTTTATTCAGGAATAGCAGAGAATTGCAGTTTAAGACATTCAAATTATGGCAAAACCATAGGCTCGTCCAACAAACAAAGGAGAGGAACTTTATTTTATGGAGAAGGGGGAGGAAGTTGGGAGGGGTTGTTTTGAACAAAAGTCCATTGGAGAAAAGTAAGAGTTCAAGGTATTGAAAGTTTCTCAGGCTGAGTAGCTGGGGTTGTCATTTTCTTGTAGGAGAGCAATATACATCTTTCCCTGTTGGGGCCTGTAATTGAGATTCCTTCCTGTTGTGGATTCTAAAATTGGGGTCTGTAATTTACAATTCTTATAATTGACTTGGAGTGATATGGCTCTCTTGGCCTCCAGACTCCACTTTAGTGAGGTTTCCCTTTTAATTTTCACATTAATTTTCACATTTTGCTCTTTTGATTAAGGTTGTGCTCTGAAAGCATTGCTGATCAAGATCAAGAGTCAGGTTATCCATANACATATAAGTGAAGTCAGACAATATTTGTCTTTGTTTGATTTATTTCACTTAGCATAATACCCTCTGGGTCCATCCATGCTATCACAAATGGCAAGATTTCATTCCTTATAGTTGAGAAATATTTCATTGTGTGTGTACGTACCACACCTCCTTATCCATTAATCTATCAATGGACTTAGGTTGTTTCCGTATCGCAGCTATTGCTTCCATACTGGGGCTATTGTAAATAATGCTGCAATGAACATAGCAGTGCATATATCTCTTTGAATTTGGTGTTTTTGTTTTCTTTGGGTTAACCTTAAAAAGAAAACAGTTATTTTACCAGCAAAAATGGGTTTATTCAGGAATAGCAGAGAATTGCAGTTTAAGACATTCAAATTATGGCAAAACCATAGGCTCGTCCAACAAACAAAGGAGAGGAACTTTATTTTATGGAGAAGGGGGAGGAAGTTGGGAGGGGTTGTTTTGAACAAAAGTCCATTGGAGAAAAGTAAGAGTTCAAGGTATTGAAAGTTTCTCAGGCTGAGTAGCTGGGGTTGTCATTTTCTTGTAGGAGAGCAATATACATCTTTCCCTGTTGGGGCCTGTAATTGAGATTCCTTCCTGTTGTGGATTCTAAAATTGGGGTCTGTAATTTACAATTCTTATAATTGACTTGGAGTGATATGGCTCTCTTGGCCTCCAGACTCCACTTTAGTGAGGTTTCCCTTTTAATTTTCACATTAATTTTCACATTTTGCTCTTTTGATTAAGGTTGTGCTCTGAAAGCATTGCTGATCAAGATCAAGAGTCAGGTTATCCATACTGTGTGGTTTTGCACCTTAGTGCCAGGAGGGACCTTTTTGGAATATCATTATGTCAGAGAGAAAGTACATAGCACTTAGAAACAAGTGTAAGGCGACATTTGAGTGATAAGTTTAAGAGGGAGAACTCTCAGGCACTTCCCATCATGGATCTGTTCTTGCTCCAGTACCAAATTGTCTTGATTACTGTGGCTTTGTAGTAGAGCTTGAAGTTGGGGAGCATAATCCCCCCAGGTTTATTCTTCCTTCTCAGAATTGCTTTGGCTATTCGGGGTCTGTTATGGTTCCATATGAATTTTAGAACTATTTCTTCTAGTTCGTTGAAGAATGCTGTTGGTATTTTGATAGGGATTGCATTGAATCTGTAGATTGCTTTAGGCCGGATGGCTGTTTTGACAATATTCTTCCTACTCATGATCATGGGATATGTTTCCATTTATTGGTATCTTTAATTTTTCTCATGAGTGTCTTGTAGTTTTCAGCATATAGGTCTTTCACCTCCTTGGTTAGGTTTATTCCTAGGTATTTTATTCTTTTTGAGGCAATTGTTTTCCTCATTTCTCTTTCTGCTAGTTCATCGTTAGTATATAGGAATGCAACAGATTTCTGTGTATTGATTTTGTATCCTGCAACTTTGCTGAATTCAGTCATTAGTTCTAGTAGTTTTGGAGTGTATTCTTTAGGGTTTTTTATATACATTATCATGTCATCTGCAAACAATGACAGTTTAACTTCTTCCTTACCAATTTGGGTGCCTTTTATCTCTTTGTGTTGTCTGATTGCTGTGGCTAAGACCTCTAGAACTATGTTGAATAAAAGTGGGGAGAATGGGCATCCTTGTCTTGTTCCTGATCTTAGAGGAAAAGCTTTTAGCTTTTTGGTGTTAAGTATGATGTTGGTTGTGGGTTTGTCATATATGGCTTTTATTATGTTGAAGTACTTGCCCTCTATGCTCATTTTGTTGAGTTGTTATCATGAATGTATGATGAATTTTGTCAAATGCTTTTTCAGCATCTATGGAGATGATCACGTGATTTTTGTACTTCTTTTTGTTGATGTGGTGTATGACGTTGATGGATTTTCGAATATTGTACCAACCTTGCATCCCTGAGATAAATCCCACTTAATCATGATGGGTGATGTTTTTATGTATTTTTGAATTCAGTTTGCTAATATTTTGTTGAGTATTTTTGCATGTATGTGCATCAGGGATATTGGTCTGTAATTTTCTTTTTTTGTGGTGTTTTTGCCTGGTTTTGGTATTTGCGTGATGCTGCTTTCATAGAATGATTCTGGAAGTATTCTCTTCTCTTTCTCTTTTTGGAAAACTAAAGATGGGTATTAGGTCTTCACTAAATGTTTGATAAAATTCAGTGATGAAGCCGTCTGGACTGGGGATTTTGTTCTTGGGTAGTTTTTTGATTACT